TTCTGAAAGAGCGTATACTAAAACATTCCTGAACGTAAGTATAACCTTCGTTTTTATATATATATATATTTTGTTGATTAATTGATTCTATTTAAGTAAGCCTAATTAGACATTCAAAAGCTCATCTTTGGTCAAAGATACAAAAATGAATTTTTGCAATGAAACGTGGAAGATTAAAACGAAATGGCTTCTTATTAAAAAGTTTGAATTTATATGATAAATATATTTGACAAGAAATAACATTTGTAGTCTGATACGTGAAAACACACTGAAAAGTGAATATTTTAAAAAACAGAGTCATCGCTCAGTATGTTATGTTTTGAATTTCGCGCAAAGCTACACGCTAGCCGTCCCTAATTTAGCAGTGTAAGACTAGAGGGAAGACAGCTAGTCATCACCACCCACCGTCAACTCTTGGGCTACTCTTTTACGAAGGAGTAGTGGGATTGACCGTCACATTATAACGGCCCTACGGCTAAAAGGGCAAGCATGTTTGGTGTGACGGGGATTCGAACCCGCAACGCTCAGATTGCGAGTCGAGCGCCCTAACCACCTGGCCATGCCGGGTCGTATTTTATGTGACGTTCAAATATAAACGTTTTGAATGTGTGCCTTCAGTTGTGTAAATATATATATGTATATAAACTTGAAGATGATATCTTAATCAGAAAAATTAATTTAGGATAAGGTTGAAGGTTATTTTTTTTTTTTACGTACTTGAAAGATGAAGGTTCCGTCTTCAAATTTGCGAGAAGGGTCTGTTTTTTGTTATTTTTCAAATTCGTTTTACGATAGAATTGATCCTAATATATATATATATAGTGACAAGTGTATCAAATGTCTTAAATTATATTACATACACTGAAACGAATTTTGAGCGGTATTTTAATTAATTAATTAAGCTCATAATGGTCTATATATAGCAATTATATTGTTGTGGGCTATATTCTTATTGCATTTTTTTTTTTGTTCATTAGGAGGAGTCTTTTACTCGAGAAATGATTGGTTAAGTCTAGAAATTTCGTAAGAACTTAAGCCTCTGTAAGATCTCGAAGCTTCCTGTAGTACAAAAAAAGACTGTTATAATATATAAAAATGACAGACTGAATTTGAATTGGTTAATCAGCTCAGTGTCAGCTAGATAGTGAGAGAGTCAGTTCATATGTGATTCAGTTATTAAACTCTTTTAGTGAGTCAGTCAGCATAATTGTTATTAATCGATAAGCATAGAAAGTTGTTGTTGTTTTAGCAAAGCCACATTGCGTTATCTGCTGTGTCCATCGCGGGGAATCGAACCTCGGATTTTTGTATTGTAAGTCCATAGACTTGCCGCTGTCTCACTGGGAGGCAGCAACGAAAGTTTCCAAATAAAAAGTTTATTTGTGAAATATGAATACCATTGGTCTCGGAAGTTTTGTTCAAAACTTATTTGCGAAGTTAGGCCTACCATTAAACGTGGCCTGTAGAAAACGTCAACGGACTATATTAATTATCATTCTTAATAGTACTGGATAAAAAAAACTCGCCCAACAATCGGACACATTACATCAGTATTATCATTTTTCTGCTTCTAGCACAACAGTAAGTCTGCGGACTTATAACGCTAGAAACTGGGTTTCGATACTTGTGGCATAGATAGCCCATAGTTTAGTTTTGTGCTTGACTACAAACAACCAACCAACTTCTAGTTTCTTAGGTCTAACTTTCATGTTCTTAATGTTACGTTAGCCCAAGTGATAACAACTCCACCGAAACGTTACCGAAACAAACATTCGCTCCGTATTCAACGGTCTTGCTACGCTGGATCTTTCTATCTGAAGCACAACTTGCACAGTAGTAAAGGGAATTCATTTCCCCCCAGCCGAGTGTCAGACCTGCAAGTAACGAAAGTTCAACAAAACCAAAGTACATTAAATGTGACATTACAGTGGACAGCACCCGGCGGAAAACTAGATACTGGTCAAGGTATTTATAATAAACTAACTTTTTTTTTCTTTTTACTCAGTACAATGATAGGTTGTACTAGACCCCCCCGTGACCCGTTGGGTCACCCACTATTCAGAGGATATGAATAATTCAAGCTAATTCCAATATTGCACCGAAATGAAGGTTTATTTTGAGATAATTTAATTAAATATTTCAATCCATTCGTGTTATTCATAATTCAAGAAAGGATATTTGATTGTTGATCGGGAGTAAAAAGAAAGACTATTTAATTTTTCAAAAAAAGTTAAGTCAGAGTTTTCAGGTATTGTGATAAACAAACCTCATTCACAGTTGATTCTAAATGCACGAAAATAAGAAATAACAGATAATAGTAATGTTATTCATGGTTTAGTAGAACGTAATTGCAAAAAAAAACCAAAAAAAAGCTATTTCAGAAAAACATTTCATACTTACTTGCTCAAATTACTGCAAGAAACAGCAAAACGTGATAACTGATACGCTACAAAATTCACCAAATGAAAAATATTTCTCACTGTCTCACAGCGAATGATTTTTTGACTATATATACGTGTGTGTGTGTGTGGATTTGTCGATCTGTTTAATTGACTTTGTTTTAGTTTAAGGATTATGATATTTTTGCTTGTAATAGTGTTATTTGATTTTATCGAAAGAAGGACGAATTTGTCCTAAAGACTCACTGTCTTTTGTATTTCATCTGTCGGTCGTGAATAGTTTAGGTTTAAAGTGTAAGATAGGTAATTGTTACTATTGTAATCATTTGGAATGCAAAAAAAAACTCTAATTTAATTCTCATTTTTTTTATATATAGTGATTACAAAATCTCCTGAAGGGTTTTATTACCAATGTGTCTAAAGTTTCGCAGTGTGCTGATTTACCCGAAAAAATAAATAAAAACAATGAATCGCAACTTAAATAAATTTATTAATTTAAGTAATTTCAAAATCAGGAGTAAAATTAAACATTTACGTATAAAAAAAAAAGAAAAGTTTGTTTGTTTGTTTTGAATTTCGCGCAAAGCTACACGAGGGCTATCTGCGCTAGCCGTCCCTAATTTAGCAGTGTAAGATTAGTGGGAAGGCAGATAGTCATTACTACCCACCGCTAACTCTTGGGCTACTCTTTAACCAACGAATAGTGGGATTGACCGTCACATTATAACGCCTCCACGGCTGAAAGGGCGAGCATGTTTGGTGTGACGGGGATTCGAACCCGCGACCCGCAGATTGCGAGTCGAGTGCCCTAACCACCTGGCCATGCCGGGCCTTAAAAGTTACTTCCGTGAAAGATTTCGTGTTTTTTTTTCTTGTAATTCAAACAAAATCCCCGCACAAGAAATTCAAACAAAATCCCCTCTTCTATAAGTTTGTGTCAAAAATCCAGTTGGATGTTTGTATTCATCCTTAATTACCAAAGTTTTTTTTTTTTTATTATT